TGCATTTTTCCTTAAATTAGTGACTTTTTTCTTCAGAAAACTGAAAAAATATATACGAATCAGTTTTATTGGAAACAAAAACAACAAAAATATTCTTTTTTAAAGGAAAAAAAAATAAAAATTTGCGGGGAAAAAATGAGAAAACAAAAATAATGCAAGCGCGCCCCATGGCTAACAGCGTTCCAATTAGGGACAGTTCGACTCCGACACAGTTCGAATTTCGCGCAGTTCGATTCTGCTCTTGTTCTGTTTTGACACATGTTCGATTTTAGGTCTGTTCGATTTTGGAAGCGTTCGAATTCGTCGTACCCCCCACTACGAATTCCCGGAAAACCGCGGAAAATCGATTTTCCAGTGTTTTTGAGCGATTTTCCAAAAAATGCCCGAGTGGCTCAGTGGGATTTTCGATAGCAATCTGAAGACCCGAGTTCGATTCCGCTCGGCGGCAAATGCTATTTGCTTCTTTTTTTATAGCATTTTCAGACTGTTTCAAAGCCGAAAATTGAGAAAATCTGAAAATTTCGAAAAATATAATTTTCGAAAAAAAAATTTTTTTTCGAAAAACTCAATTTTCATGTTTTTTGGGCCTTAATTTTCAGAAAATGCTCATTTTAAGCCAATTTTCCACTCAAAAATATCGATTTTCAGGTGAAAAAGATCACTAAAGCCAAATTTAAGGATGAGCAATTGTCATTTTTGGTCATCTGGGATATCGATCGATCGCTCACTTGGGAACCATTGGAATCATTTTCCGGAGGTCTTCAACATGAAAGAATTCGAAATTTCGCAAAGAAAAATCCCCAAAAATGGGCGTATTTGATGAAAAGTAGGCCGAAATTTTTTTTCCCAAAATTTTGAATTTTTCAGAGATCCCAGACAATCTTCGAGAGGCATTGCTCAGCGCAAAAAATGACGCCATGGCTACAATAACCGATGGACCGGATATCGATTTCATCGAGGAGAAGCGCACTGGATTCGAAAATGAACAAGTTGTGGTTAAAGAAGAGCAGGAGGAGCATATTCAGGGGTAAAAAAGCCTAAAAATGGTCTAAAATGACCTAAAAATAGTCAAAAATGACTTAAAAATGGTCCAAAACAGCCGAAAAATAATCAAAAATGGTCCAAAATGACCTAAAAATGGTCCAAAATGACCTAAAAATGGTCCAAAATAGCCGAAAAATGATCAAAAATGACTTAAAAATGGTCCAAAATTGCCGAAAAATGATCAAAAATGGCCCAAAAATGGTCCAAAATGACATAAAAATGGTCCAAAACAGCCGAAAAATGGTCCAAAATGACTTAAAAATGGCCCAAAATGACATAAAAATGGTCCAAAATGACCTCAAATTGCCTAAAAATGACTTTAAAATGCCTAAAAACCCAAAAAATCGATTTTTAAATACTTGAAAATTTTCGAAAATTTTCAAAAATTTTCAAGAAATTCGAATTTCCCGCCAAATCCAAAATCTGAAAATCTTCAAAAATTCCAGATCCGATGCTCCGGAACCGATTGTCGAGGAGCCCGACATGGATTGGGACCATTTTCCATGATTCTTCTTGAGGCCACGCCCCTTTCTTCCCTAGGCTCCGCCCCCTTTTCACCAGGCTCCGCCCACTTTTTACTGTTTTTGTTGTTATAATTTTTGAATAAATGTCGTTGTTGTTGTTGTTGTTGACCCAGTTCTCACTAAGAAAAAATATTGCTCATGCTAAAATGAATAGGCTCCGCCCACTTTTCTCTACATTGCTCAGCGTTAGTTTTCCTAATAAAAAGGGCGAGTAGAGACTCATTTTAAGGATGAGCAATCCGAAAAAAAGGAGCCAATTTTCCACACATTTTTTGGCGTCCCTTTTGTGTGTCGTGGCTTTTTCTTTGTCTGCGTCTCTTCGATTTGTGTACTCTCTCGTCGATCGGTTTTCTATAAGCTCTCGTTTTCTGTTATTTTTATCGGGTTTTGAGGCATTTTTGAGGGTTTTAGAGTGAAAAAATGCGATTTATAGTATTTTTTTGGGTGTGGGAAGGTTTTCTAGTCAAGAAAATCCGGAAAAAAATTTTCGAAAAAAAAATTTTTATTTGAAAATTTTTTAAAGTCAATTTTCCGAACTTTTAGGCTATTTTCACAGTTGTTTCTAACACGAAAAATCGAGATTTTATCGATTTTTTTTGGGTCTGGAAAGTCTGAAAATCCGGAAAATATTCCAAAAACATTTTTTTTTTCGTTTTTAAGACATTTTTGGCATTTTAGGATCTGAAATTCAGTTTTAAATCGATTTTTCCGTCTATAGTTATTGAAAAAACTGCAAAAATCTTTAAAATATTTTTTTCATTTTTGCAGCTCTTTTTCAAATTTTTTTCGAAAATTTTCTAATTTTCAGCCAAATATCATGAGTTTCAAGCATTTTGAAAATTTGGAAAACGTCAAAAATTTGATTGGTAAGTTTCTTTTTAATTTTTGAAGAAAAATTATCGAAAAAAAATTTTTTCCAAAAAATTCAAATTTTTCCAGAATCTTTGACGCCTTCTGCTTTGTCAGGAAAATCTGAAAAACGGCGACGTCATACAAAAGCTGAAATGAAGGCGATGGTGAGAAAAAACTTTCGACAAAAATTTTTTTTTCGAAATTTCAATTTTTTGAATTTTTCAAAAATGCAAATTCGCCCTAATGCCGATTTTTCAAATTACTTAGTTTTCAGTCAGTAATCGATCGGGAGGAACTTCGAAAAACCCAAAATCGCGTGTGCTCTGCAAATTCGCTCCACCGGAAAAAAGAGAAAATCGCTGAAAATCGGGAAAAAATCAATAATTTGAAGCGCGAATTGGCTGAAATTCGCGGGAAAAATCATCGATTTTTCGAAAATTCCGAAAATTTCGAAAAATTAAAATTGCGAATTTTCGACGAAATCGAACGAGAAAATTCGGGGAAAAAAGAAGAATTTGAAGAGGTGAAAATTCAAATTTTTGAATTTTTGAGAATTGCAAATTCGCTCTAATGAGAATTTTTCGCATTTTTGCTATTTTTCAGCTATATTACTCTTATAAACAATATTTTTAAAGAAAAATTTTTTAAAATTATTGATTTTTTCCAGAATATCAAAAATCTGAAAATCGAAATCGCTGGAATTACCCTGCGTCACCAACAGGAACCCCAGAATAAGAGCACACTGGCCGCTCAAAAATGTCGAAAGAACTTGAATTTGAGAATCGCCGAAATGGAATTTTCTGGAATTTGTCTGGAAATCGAACTGCAAAAAGAGCTGAAATTGGAGTCCGAGCTCAAAAAAGCGATAAATTTCGACGAGGAGAAAAGTCCATTGGAGCAGATTTTGAACATGGCGGAAATTCAAATAAACCGGAAATTTTAAATTTTTGTGAAACTTTTTTTTTTCCAATCTTTCTAGTCTGATATTTTGCGTTTTTTTCATCGAATTTTCTCAATAAAATATTTGAAATCGCGGCCGAAAAAAGTCTTGAAATTTCTAGGCCACCGAGAATTTTTTTTTTCGAATTTTTCATAAATTTTCAGGTTTTCAACTCATTTCAACCCAATTTTTACACTTTTCAAGGCACATTTAGGCTTTCAAGGCCACCAGTTGACATTTCTAGGCCACCAACGGCAATTTTTGAGCTAATCTCCATGTAAGGCTCATTTTCCCCGATTTTTCGATATTTTCCGTCTATTTTCAGTGATTTTCAGCTATTTTGGCTCGTTTTTTTTTGAACAGAATTTATTTTGGACCGCGGTCCGTAGTTTGGCGTCGTGGTGTTTGCACAAAACGGCGTGTAGTTAGGAGGGCCTTCTAGAAGGCGGGAACCACCGATTTTTCCTCAGATTCTAGTTTTTATATTTGCAGAGAAAGAAAAGAGAAGAAAAGAAAAAAAGTTGATAAGAAAAAAAAATTTGTTTAAAATAATTTTTTTTTCGAAAATTTTAATTTTTATTAAATAGAATTCTAATTAGGTTAAAATTCTAGATTTCACACTAAAATTTAGCTTAAAATTAGTCTATAACCGCCATTTTTTACACCGACTTATCCGGAAAATTTTGAATTTTCAGAATACTTCTTTTCGCGCCTATTTTGTTCAATTTTTTCGTTTTTGAGCGAATTTTAAGCAATTTTTCAAGGTATTTCCAGCAGGCGCCACTACTAACAAGACCAAAAGGCCGAAATTCCTAAAAAAACAGCAAAAAATGAGTGGAGTTTCACCAACAGGTAAGTTTTGAGCATGCTGTGGCAAATGCGCTCTAGCGCAAAAACCAGTATACCATTTCTAATGATTGTTATACCATTGGATAGGAAATTTTCTGTAGATCATAGTACTATTTCGAATTTCTGGAAAATACCAATTTTGACATCTCATGGGCCCCTTTTTCTCGAGTGACTACCTCGGCTGTGGCAAATGCGCTCTAGCGCAAAAACCAGTAGATCAATTTTTATGAAATTTATATTATTAAACAGGAACGTTTCTGTAGATCAAACTGATATTTTGATTTTTCGAAAAATTCAGAATTTGACGTCTTCTAGGACCCATTTGCTTGACCACATCGAGCTGGTTAAGTGTGGTGTAGTAAATGCGCCCTAGCGCAAAAACCAACTGACGAATTTTGATGATTTTCATATCATTGTATAGGAAATTTCCTGTAGATCATAGTACCATTTTGAATTTCTGGAAAATTCCAATTTTGACGTCTTCTGGGGCCCCTTTTCTCTGGGCTGACTACCTCGGTTGTGGCAAATGCGCTCTAGCGCAAAAACCAGTAGATCAATTTTTATGAAATTTATATTATTAAACAGGAAAGTTTCTGTAGATCATAGTGCCATTTTGAATTTTCGAAAAATTCTGATTTTGACGTCTTCTGGAATCCATTTACTCTGCAGACTACCTCGGTTGAGGCAAATGCGCTTTAGCGCAAAAAACCAGTTTACCATTTTCAATGATTTTTATACTAATAGATAGGAAATTTTCTGTAGATCAAAATGATAGTTTGGATTTCTGAAAAATTCCAATTTTGACGTCTTCTGGGATCTACTCTGCAGACTACCTCGGTTGCGGCAAATGCGCTCTAGCGCTAAAACCTGTGGACCGGTCTTGTTGTGTTTTATACCATTGAATAGACCATTTTCTGTAGATGAAAGTACCATTTTGAATTTTCGAAAAATTCTGATTGTGACGTCTTCTGGAGGCTCCAGAAGACGTCAAGCAAAAATTTTCGAAAAAAAAAGTTTTTTTTTCGAATTTTTCTTTCTTTTTCCAGATGACGTTAGAATCACAAGACCCTTCGATTTCTTTTTCCTCCCCTTGTGATTTTTATCATTTTTCTTATCATTCTGATAAGAGAGACTGTACACCTTGAGAGCAGCGTTTGGAGAGGGGGAAAGGTGTGATTCATAGTTTTTTCTATTTATTTGTACAGCCATGCCGATTTTCAGCCAAAAATGCCGATTTTCAGCCAAAAATGCCGATTTCAGCCAAAAATGCCGATTTCAGCCAAAAAATTCAGAGCACGGCCCCGCGGAGCCTAGTCGTGTGGGGGCTCATTTTGAAGCCCACAGCGAGGGAAATTCAAATATCTAGGTTTCAACCAAAAATGTTGAAAAATAAAAAAGTTTTGGGGAAAATGAGGTTTTTCGAAAATTTTGAAAAATTCGAATTTTTCAATAAACTTTTTTGTTTTTCAATATTTTAGGATAGAACTTAGATATTTCAATTCCCCTCGCTTTGAGCTTCAAAATGAGTATAAACACGACTAGGCTCCGCCCACTTTCATTTTTTGACTGTTTTTGACTTTAAAGGCGCATGGGGGGTCCGAATTTCGAAAATGGGCGGAGTCTAATCGAGTTTATACTCATTTTGAAGCTGAAAACGCGACAAATTCAGAAAACTAGTTTTCAAAAAAAAATTTCTGAATCCTCATCGGGTTACGGTAGTTTTCCCCTACAGTACCCCTCAAAGTGGACGGAGCCTAGGCGTGTTTGGGCTCATTTTGAAGCTAAAAACGCAGCAAGTTCAAAAATCTAGCTTTCAAATCATATTTCTCTGTCTGTATGTCGGTTTGTCCTCCGGATCAAACTACACACTTTTTGGTCGAATGTCCAAAAACCAACAACGCCACCACTTCTTTGCAAAAAATCTGAGGAAAAACGCGGCGCTTGTTTACGACAAGCGCCATTTCCTCTCTATCGTTTCTCTGCCGTTTCTTCTTTCCGTACACTCTCTCGCCGCCTCCGCCGATAAAAATCCCTTTTCTCTTGTCCCTCTTATTCTTGCCGGCGCGGAGCGCCCCTGGCCACTATTAAGAGTGAGCAATAGACGTTTTTATACATTCTTCGTTGAAATTAGGAAAAAAAAGTAATGCTGAAAAATCTCGAAAAATTGACCGAAATGTTTTTTTTGGAAAATTTTGAAAAACTATTTTTCTTCATAACTTTTTTATTTTTCTAGATTTCAAACTAAAACTTGGATATCATAATTCTCATGTTTTTAGCTTCAAAATGAGCCCCCACACGCTTAGGCTCCGCCCACGTTGACAATTCGGACCCCCCATATGCGCCTTTAAAGTCGAAAAGTCAAAGTGGGCGGAGCCTAGTCGTGTGGGGGCTCATTTTGAAGCGCAAAGAGAGAGGTATCCGAATATCTAAGTTTTAAATTTAAATATTCAGAAATTAGAATGTTATAAGGGAACATTTTACGGAAAAAAATGTTCAAAAATGTATTTTCCCTCATAACTTTTTTATTTCTGTAGATTCCGTTATAGAACATACATATTCTTATTCCTCGCGTTTCTAGCTTCAAAATGAGTATAATCATGCCTAGGCTCCGCCCACTTTGGAGGCTAGAGCGCCAGAGAAGCGAGACACACTGCGCTCTGACCTCAAAACTGAAAATGGGCGGAGCCTAGGCGTGTTGGGGCTCATTTTGAAGCTAAAAACGCGAGAAATAAGACAATCTAGGTTAGAATTAGAAATATTGAAAAACCAAAGAGTTATGGGACAAAAAATAATTTTCCTAAAAATTGAAAAAAATTAATGAAATTTATGATTTTTTTTTTTGGAAATTCGTATTTATAAGCTTCATATTCGTTTTCAGCTCAGCTAGCGCTTCAAAATGAGCCCTCACAAGCCCTATTTCCGTTAAGGCTGAGCAATGTCCTACAGTAACCCCGAAAAAATGAAATGGGCGGAGCCTAGATATGTGGGAGCTCATTTTGAAGCTGGGAATGTGGGTAACTTGAATTTTTGAGCTTAAAATAGCAAACTGAAAAATATAAATCACAAAATTTGAAAAATTAAATTTTCAAAAAAAAAATTTTCCAAAAAATTTTTTTCTCAAAATTTTCGAATTTTCCACCGTATTTGATTGCACATTTCTACAGTAACCAGTTTCCAGACCGCCCCGCCTCTCTCATCATGAACAACCAAAACGACGGATCCATCGATTTCCTGGATCTGGGACTTCCGGAAAATTTAGGAGATTATTGTGACCCAGTTCTGATGGCAGTGTGCCAAAATACTCAGTTTTTCGAAAATTCTGAAAATGACGATATGCCGGTGATAGAGCCAGAAGGTTTCGTCGAAGAAATGAGACCAGAAGTCATCCAGCAAGATGTCCCAACAACCAACAATCAATTGGACTTTATTATGGAGGTTGAACAGAATCTGGATAAGGTGGGACCCGAAAATTCGAATTTCCCGCGAAAAATTGGTCTGGAAGAGTTGAAAATTTGAAATTTTTGAAAAAAAAATTTCAAACATTTTTCTGAAATTCTTCGAAAAAAAAATTTTTCTTGGAAAATTTCAATTTTTCCTTTCAAAATAAATTTTCTCAGCATGTTAACTATCATTTCTGTACTCACCTCGTTCCTAGCTTCAAAATGAGCCCACACACGCCTAGGCTCCGCGCACTTCGGAGGCTAGAGCGCCAGAGAAGCGAGACACACTGCGTCTCTGACCTCAAAACTGAAAATGGGCGGAGCCTAGGCGTGTTGGGGCTCATTTTGAAGCTCAGGGCGTGAGAATTAAGGAAATCGAGGTATCGGCCGAAAATAATAGAAAATCAAGAATTTATGGGGAAAATTAGATTTTTTGGAAAAATTGGAATTTTCCGAAATTACCCCATAACTTCTTACTTTTCCAATATTTTCAGCTGAAACTTAGATTTTCAGGTTCCTCAGGTTGAGAGCTTCAAAATGAGCCCCCACACGCATACTTTCCGGGTTACTGTAGTTTTGGGGGCCCAACTACAGTAACCCTGAAAAGTGGGCGGAGTCTAGGCGTGTGGGGGCTCATTTCGAAGCATTTTTTGAGCAGAAAACGATAAAAACGATTAGAATTGAAAATGACAAAAATTCGAAGCGCTGAAAATTTGAAAAATCGATATTTTCAGCTAGTGATCCACAATCCAAACCAAGAGGACCCAACTTTGACCGCCATTAATGGCCGCCAGGATGACTGGGATTTAGAAATGGACGACGAATTCGTCTACACTGGTTCGTGAGGAAAAGAAAAATCGAGAAAAAAGCAATTAAGGATGAGCAATGATTGGGGGGAAATGCTGATTAGTCAACAGATTGCTAATGATAAATTATCAGAGACATTTTTTTTCCAATGAGCAATAGGCGGAGACTACTGTAGGAGACACTATATAAAATGCGGAGAAATACAGTTTTTAGAGGCAAGAAAGGTTCTCAAAATGACGCTAAACCTATCACTAATTATCATGGATACTACTGTAATTGTGGTCAAAAATGAAGGTAATTTTTCTAGAATTAGCAATGGAGCGCGTTTTCGAGAATTTTGAAAAATTGCGGATCAACCCAATTTTTTGCAATTTTATCGATTTTTTTGGTCTTAAAATAGCTAATTAGTACATTAGAGCGCATTTTCCAGTGCAAAATTGCTGAAAATTTCGCAAATTATCATTAGAGCGCGTTTTCAACGTTAAAAGTCGATTTTTCGCTATTTTATCAATTTTTTAGGTCTCAAAAAGCTAATTAGTACGATAGAGCGCATTTTCTAGTGCAAAATTGCTGACAATTTCAAAAAAAAAACTGACATTTCTGAAAAATTGGCACTAGAGCGAATTTGCAGCGCAAAATTCGATTCTTCGCGATTTTTTCGCTTCGAAAAGGTAATTAGTGCAGTAGAGCGCATTTTCTAAAGCTAGAAATTTCAAAAAAGCTGAAAATTTCGCAAATTATCATTAGAGCGCGTTTTCAGCACCGAAAATGCAAATTTTCCGATTTTCTTGTTTTTTATCAACTTTTTTTTTCGAAAAATTGGCATTAGAGCGCGTTTTCTGCGATGAAAATCGATTTTTTCGTACTTTATCGATTTTTCAAATCGGTGCGCATTTTCTAGTGCAAAATTGCTGAAAACTTTCAAAAATTATCAAGTTAGAGCGCGTTTACAACGTTAAAAATCGATTTTTTCGAAAAATTCTCGAATGGAGCACATTTGCAGACCTGGACAACTGTCAACAATATGATTCCTATGACCGACAGCAAGAGGAGATGCTGGAATTTCAGCCAGGTAATTTTAGCGAAAATTTGAGAAAAAAAATGCATTCTCGCTCCATTGAACACCCCCATCGAATTATCGATTTATCGATTTTTTTTGTTGTTGTAGATCAAAAGGAGGACTTCTTCCAATATGAGCAACACCAACAGCCCTACCAGATAAATCGAATGGAAGTCTTCTCGGGACCATTGGAGCGTCTTCCCGATTCTTATCCGTATCCGGAGATTCAGAAGAAGACCATTTTTGAGACTAGTGAGTGGAAAATATATCTGGAACAATCTGGAAAAATCTGGAAAAATCTAAAAATCTGAAAAGTTTCAGCCAAAAAAACCTAAAATGACCCAAAATTGACCGATTTTGTCTCATTTTGGCTCATTTTTCGCCAAATTTCCGCAAAAATATTCCAAATTTCTTCCAGAACCCTCCTTGCCATATTCACCAGCTCTATCCCCGGATTATTCCGTGGATTCGTACTTCAAAGTGGACAACAACACTAACTACTCACCACCACCCCCACCACAATCCCCAAGAAAGATGAGAAGCCGAAAAAATTCGGAAGTCCACAGTAAGATTGGCATGAAGAATGGAAAAATGACCATCGGAAAGGTTGCGCATACGATTTCCAACGAAAAACCCTTCCGGAACCGTATGACGAAGGCCGAGATGAACAAAATGGTAATTTTTAGGCTTTAGGACTCAAAATTCCAGGTTAAAATAGGCAAATTTGAATTCCCCGCGTCGAGAGCTTTCAAATGAGTATAATCATGCCTAGACTCCGCCCACTTGGAGATTTGAGGCGCGTCGCGGTCGTGCGTCGCGTGCGCATCGGGGAAAGGTGAAAGTGGGCGGAGCCTAGGCGTGTGGGGGATCATTTTGAAGCTCTCGACGCGGGGAGCACGAATAAGATGATTTTAGGTGAAAATATCGAAAAATAAAAAAGTTATGGGGAGAATTAGATTTTTGGAAAAATTGGAATTTTTCGAATTTTCCCCATAACTTCCTAATTTTTCAATATTTTCAGCTAAAAGTTAAAATTTCCTAATTTTCATGTTCTGAGCTTTAAAATGAGCCCACACACGCCTAGGCTCCGCCCACTTTGGGTGCTAGGGCGCCAGAGAAGCGAGACACACTGCGTCTCAGACCTCAAGACACAAAGAGGGCGGAGCCTAGGCGTGTGTGGGCTCATTTCGAAGCTCAGGGCGTGAGAACTGAGGAAATCGAGGTTTCGGCCGAAAATAATAGAAAATCAAAAATTTATGGGGAAAATTAGATTTTTGAAAAAATTGGAATTTTTCGAAATTTCCCCATAACTTCTTACTTTTCCAATATTTTCAGCTGAAACTTAGATTTTTAGGTTCCTCAGGTTGAGAGCTTCAAAATGAGCCCCCACACGCCTACTTTCCGGGTTACTGTAGTTTTGGGGGCCCAACTACAGTAGCCCGAAAAGTGGGCGGAGCCTAGGCGTGTGGGGGCTCAATTCAAAGCTCTTTATGTGCTGAAAACGAAAATCAAGCTTAAAATGCGGAAAAACTGTTTTGAAATTCAAAAATTCCAAAAATTTGAAAATTTGAATTTTTAAAGAAAATTTCAAAAAAATTTTTTTTTTGAAATTTCGATTTTTCGAACTTCAGCTTATTTTTTTGCCTATTTCACCATAATATTTGTTTTCAACTTAAGAAGAGCTTCAAAATGAGTATAATCATGCCTAGGCTCCGCCCACTTTGAGATTTGAGGTCAGAGACGCAGTGTGTCTCGCTTCTCTGGCGCTCTAGCCTCCCAAAGTGGGCGGAGTCTAGGCGTGTGGGGGCTCATTTTGAAGCTCTTGCTGAGCTGAAAACGAATATGAAGCTTAAAATAGGCAAAAATAATTTCGAAATTCCAAAAATTGAAAATTTTCGAAAAAAAAATTTTTTTGGAAAATTTCGGAAAAATTTTTTTTTGAAAATCAAAATTTTAACTTTTCTAAACCAAAATTTTTTCCTAAAAACGATCCCGCCAATTTTACAGACTGAAAAGCAAAAAGAAGACCGCAAAAAGGGCCAAAACAAGGTCAACGCCAAGAATTGTGTCGCTAGGAAGAACAATGAGAAGACGGACCTTGGGGAAAAAATCGAAATTTGGGCGGGAAATTTGAAAATCGTTGAAAGAGCGAACGGATTGCAGAAAAATGGATTGCTCAGCGTATACTCTACCGTAATCTATGGCGAATTGCAAAACAATTCGCAATATGGAAATTTGGCGCAGTTTGAGGAGGGAATTGAGCTTGCGAGGGCTGAAATCGATCAAGAAATCAGTATGACAATAATGGAGTATTGATTGATTTGCAGGAGGTGAGGAAATTTGAAATTTTGAAAAAAAAAATTTTCGAAAAAAAAAATTTTTTTTTTGAAACACAATTTTTGGCTGAAAATCTATTTTTCTATCTGAAAAAGTGTAAAAGATCGAATTCTAGCTGTTTTCAAAATACATCGAAAAATCGATAAAATTTGAAAAATTTTGAAATTTCGAAAAAGAATTTTTTTTGGCTGAAAATCGACTTTTTTCAGACTATTTTTCTTGATAAAGTTGGCCGAATTTGTCTGAAAATCGATTTTAAGACTGCCAAAATCAAAAAAAATCGATAATTTCTGAGAAAAAATTTCGAAAAAATTCCAAAAAAAAATTTTTTTTTGGCTGAAAATCAATTTTTCAGACTAATTTCTGCTGGAAATTCGAATTTTCCAATTTTCGAGACGCTGAAATTCAAATTTCAGTCAGAAAATCGATAAATTTTGAGAAAAAAAATCGGGAAAAAAATTTCAAAAAAAAATTTTTTTCCAATTTTCTTTTCTTTTTTTCCAATTTTCTTTTCTTCAGTAAAATCCATGTTTCTCACTCTAAAATCACTCAAAAATATCGATTTTTATCAAAAACTGCCCCAAAATCCCCCAAAAACGATTGCTTTTTCTATTTTTTCGAAATTCCGGGGTCATCAAGTTTGCTCCATTGAAAAAAGTAGGAAAATCACTTTTTGGGGGTTTTTGAGCTCAAAAAATCGATTAAAATTATTGCAAAAACAAAAAATATTGATTTTTCAGTCAAAACTTGCAATTTCAGCAAAAAAAAGTTCAAAAAAAAATTTTTTTTCCAAATTTTTTTTTTCAAATTTCCAAAAAATTCATGTTTCTCGCTGAAAAGAAACTCAGTTTTATCGATTTTTCGCCAAAAATCACCCCAAAAACCCCCTAAAAGTCATTGATTTTTCGGAAAATCGATAATTTATCGATTTTTTACATTTTTTTTCAAAATTTTTTTCAAAGCGATTTTTAGGCATTTTTAGGCTTCTAAAAAGCAATTTTCTCAGCAAAAATCTATCGATTTTCGTTCCAGAAGTACCAGGAGGCTGAGACGGAGTTCGAGAAGTTCAAAAAGCCAAAAACCGATGAGAACCTGTCCCAGAACACCTATGCCTCGCGGAAATCCCGAGCCAAAACCGCTTTTGAGCTGGCGAAATTGAGATTTGAAGCGAAAAATCTGGAAGTGGAGCTGGAAAAAAATGTGAAATTCAGCGAGAAATTGGAGGATTTTTCGGCGAAAATCAACGAGATTTTGGTTGGAATGGGACGGGGAAAACAGTTGGCTGAGAAGGTGGTTTATGATGGATTCCAGACATTTGAGCCAAGTTAAAGCGGCGGAAATTTGAAAAAATTTGAAAAAATCCCCATTCTTTGCCCATTCCTACCCTTTTTATGTCAAAAAATCGATAATTTTTGAAAAAAAATTTCGCAAAAAAATCGATTTTCCCGCCTATTTTCTCCCATTTTTAAGCCATTTTTTGTGTCAAAAAAATCGATAAATTATCGATTTTCCGTCCCCCCCCCTCGTTTTATCTCATGTTCATGTCTTAAAAATCGATAATTTTTGGGAAATTTTGAAAAAAACTTTTTTTTTTTTGAATTTTTTCGAATTTTCAGAAAATTATCGATTTTTCAGCCAAATTTCCTGTACGAATTCTCATAATTTTTTTTGTATCAAATGCATTATCATTTTTTTCAGATTTTTGAAAAAATTCTGGAAATTGACCATTTTTCCCCCAAAAAATCATCCCCAGTTTTATCGATTTATCAACATCTCTCTAATGTTACTAATTATTGATTTTTTACAGAAAAAAAATCTTGGAACAAAATTTTTTTTTCTGAAATTTCCATTTTTCTTCAATTTTTTACCAATTCTCACCCTTCCTCACTAAGCTCCGCCCCCTTTTACTTATAACTACAGTAATCCCCTCCTCCTTTTTTCGTGTCGATTTTCGATTTCTTCCATGAAGATTTTTGATTTTTTTTTCAAAATAAAAATTCAAAAAATCTTTTTAAAAACTCTTCAGAATCCACCTAACGTCATCTGAACTTCTGATTTTTTTAGTCTGAAATTTTTTTCAAACATTCAACATTTTTGAATTTGCCGCCATTTTTCGAATGAATCCGGTCAAAAAAAGGTCTGAAAACAACAAATGAAAAAATAAATGTTTTGTCCAAATTATAATTCAGACCCTCCAATACCCCTGAAAAGATTTAAAAAAGAAAACAAAAGAAGTTGCCCCCACGCAGGATTGAACTACGGACCTTTGGTTTACAAGACCAACGCTCTACCACTGAGCTATAAGGGCGCACGAGAGGCGATGGGAGGGAGTGCATATAAGAAGGAGAGGAGCGGGAACGGCGGACAGAGGAAGAAACTTCAACTTTGAATGCTTATTTCATTGCCTGAAAAGCAACAAAACCCTATGTATCTTATATCACTGGAAAGGAAATTTCAAGAGCTACAAAATCCAGTTTGGATTATTTCAAAATATCAAGTTTGAAAAAAGCTGCGAAGGCTAGAACAAAGGGCGCACTTTTTTTCGTGTAACTCGTTCCTACTTTTTCTTATGTTTCAATATGAAAAATGCAGCATTAAAATTGCATGTATTTGATATGATTTTGAAGAACATTTCAAGAGCTATAAGATCCAATTTAGATAATTTGAAAATATTGATTTTGAAAAAAGTTATAAAGGCTAGGAGTTTTCTTGTAACTCACTTCAAAATTATCATTTCTCAATTATGTAAATTGCGTTAAATTGGATTTTAAACTGCACATATTTTATATCATCTTGAAGGGAATTTCAAGAGCTACAAAATCCAATTCACAAGGTTTCAAAATGTCAAGTTTGAAAAAAGTTACAAAGGCTAGAAGAGAGGAAGCCCTCTTTCCCTTGTAACTCGCTTCAAACCTAATACTTTCGAATGATTCAAAACAGGAGATATAAAAATTAAGAAGCACTTCAAAATGATAGTGAACTTTTTCTTGTTCCCATAAGAGCCTTAAAGCTAGGCGATGCTCTTTTAATAGAGGCAAAAATGTGATAAATCATTGAGAGCAGCTGGTAGGGATACTGTAACACATCAATTTTTCTGATGTTTTTTTCCCATAATCATGATTTTCATGCAGCTTCAGACTGTCATATCAATTTTTATCAAAATTGGAGAATTTTGAAAATTTTTGAAAAAATTGGAATTTTTCGAAAAAAATTTTTTTTTCAAATTTTCACATTTTTTTGAATTTTCAACAGAATATTGATTTTCATGCAGCTTCAGATTGTCATATCAATTTTTATCAAAATTGGAGAACTTTGAAAATTTTTAAAAAATTGAATTTTTCAAAAAAAAAATTTTTTCCAAATTTTCGAGTTTTGAATTTTCTCTTCAGAATATTGATTTTTAGGCCATTTCAGATCGTGATATCAATTTTTATCAAGATTGGAAAATTTTGAAAATTTTCGAAAAAATTGAATTTTTCGAATTAAAAAAAAATATTTTCGATAATTTTCAATTTTTTGGCATTGTTTGCAATTTTCGGCTTGAAAAAAATGGTCCAGAAAAATCCTAAAAAATTAGAGAAGAATATTTTCATTACGCTCAGCGTCTTAAAATAGGGCTGAAAATACGGGGAAAAATGACTGAAAATTGCAATTTTTTGATTTTTTCAACAAAAAATTTTCAAAAATAAGTAGATAAAACGACGACAAGAAAAAATATGTAAAAATTGTTTTTTTTTTCGGACGGGAAGATCAAAAAACTCAAAGAAAAAAGATAATTATAAAAACAAGGGAAGGAGAGATTCTGAAGAAAATGGGCGGGGCTTAAAGGGGAGAAAATCGATTTTTTGGGAAAATTTAAAGGAAATAATCGGCATGTGGCTTCTTGGCGGGTGCTCCACGATTCTCCTGCGGCGCCGCCTCGAAAATTGTGAACTCTCGATTCAGATTCTCATCGAGCTCCAGAATCGCGGCCACGTTTCCGCATCTGGAAATTTTGGAAGTTTTCAAAAAAATAATCAATTTTAAAATTGAGAAAATTGGAGCCAAAAACTGTGAAAAAATGATCTGAAAATCGGCAAAAATCAGCGAAAAATTCAAAAATTCCAGATTTTTCGAAAAAATTTCAAAATTATCAATTTTTATCAGAATAGGATGAATTTGAAAATTTCGGAAAATTTGGATTTTTCAAAATTTGAAAGTTAAAAAACTTTTTCTTTCAGAATATTGATTTTTATGCTGGTTCAGGTCGTCATAACAATTTTTATCAGAATTGGATAATTTTGAAATTTTTCGAAAAATCTGAAAATTTCAAAAAAAATTTGTCCAAATTATCGATTTTTCGATTTTTTCTCTCAGAATATTGATTTTCATGCCAATCCAGGTCGTGATATCGATTTTTATTAAAATTGGACAATTTTGGAAAATCTGAAAATTTAGAATTTTTCGAAATTTTTTTTTCAAATTATCGATTTTTCCGAATTTTTTTCCATAATGTTGATTTTCATGCAGCTTCAGATTGTCATATCAATTTTTATCAGAATTGGGGAATTTTGAAATTTTTCAAAAATCACAAATTTTTGAATTTTTCGCTATTTTCAGCCAATTTTTCTCAAATTTTCGGCTTAAAATGGTCCCCGCGTACCGATAGCAATAATTGGGTGCCGACCATACAGTAAGCACTTTCTCATTGAAGTGCCACTTGTATCCTTCCATCACCAGCTGATGTGCCCGACAAATCAAATCGACACTGTTCGCTTCGCAGAACGTCTTCGACGCGTCCGCACCGAATAGATAGCCAGCGCCACGTGGCGACAGACCCCATCCGACGTTTCCTTCCTCTGGATCGGACCATAATAAATCACACATCGGACCGTCGTGCGGCACCTGGAAAGCAGGGGAAATTGCATTTTGAAAATCAGTTTTTGAGCCATTTTCAGCCAGATTCAGCCCTAAAACAGTCTAAAACGACCGAAAGTCGGCTGAAAATGGTCAAAAAACGGTCAAAAATCGATTCTAGGCCATTTTCACCGTTTTTCAGGTAATTTTTCACTCATTTTAAGCTCTAAAACAGTCTAAAATTGTCCTAAAATTGGTGGAAAATGGTCGAAATTGACCAAATTGTCTTCTAAATCGATTTTAGACCACCATTTTGAGCTCTGAAACGGTCCAAAACGACCCAAAATGCCCAAAAATCAGCCGGAAAATGGTGAAAAACGATTGTAAATGCTCCATTTTAGCCCCAAAATGAGCCATTTTGGATCATTTTTGAATTAGTTGGTGCTTCTAAAAATCGATTTTCAGTCATTTTCAGTCATTTTTCAGCGGTTTTTATCTCAAAATGCTATTATTTCCACCTATTTTCCAGCCAATTTCAGCCAAAAAATGCTCATTTTGAGCAGTAACGCTCCTTGTTAGCTAAATTTTCAGATTTAAAACCGTCCAAAATTTCCCGAAATCGGTCGAAAAGTGTCACTTTGGGCGAATTTCAGCTCAAAAATGCTCATTTCAAGGTCATTTTTAGCATTTTGGACACCAAAATGGCCCTAAATCAATTAAAAGTTGTGTCATTTTTGAAGTATTTAGACTATTTTCATCAAATTTTAGGTCATTTTTGATCATTTTTCAGCCATTTTCAGCCCAAAAACGCTATTTCTCAACTCGATTTGAGGCTATTTTAGCTCGTTTTTAGATCATTTTTCAATGCACATCGTCGTTTTGGCCGAATTTCAGTGTCAATTTTCGATATTTCTACTTATTTTCAGTCAATTTAAGTTCAAAAATGCTCATTTCGAGGGCCAAAATGACTTGGAATTGGTCAAAAAATGTCATTTTGCGAATTTTAAGTATTTTTAAAAATCGATTTTACGTAATTTTTAACGGTTTTTAGGTCATTTCCAGCCATTTCCAGCATACTTGCGGACGGGCCCAAAGCGGGCCCTGTCATAGTTTCTTTCAGGATTAATATTTTTTGACCAACTAAATTAGATATGGTAGAACTCGACGAGCACTACAAAATGATACTATTTGGGACACTGTATCATATTTGTGAACAAAGTTACAGACCAAACGGGCCGCATTTGCAGCTTTTCGGCTTGTAACTTACTAGGGAAGGTTGTAATTGGGGGGGGGGGGGGGGGGGTGGAACTTCGGTATGAGACCTATATCATTCGAAAGCTGAGAATGAGACATTTTCAAAAATGTATTCTGATTTTGCTGAGGAGCTACCAGTTTCGAGAAAATCGGGTTCGAAATCTGAGAAATTGCAAATGCAAAGGGGGGACCCCATGGTGATTTTTTTGCGAAAATTTTTTTTTTGAAAAAAAAACCTGAAAACTTTATGGGATCATTTTCTTTTATTCAAAAAACAATAACGGGAAGAGGAATCGAACCTACAACCGGTTGGATACTCTTCATCCCTCCTCGCCACTACACCACTGCTGTCTTGTTCTTTCACTTCCCCAATCTATATAAGAAAGAGGGGAGGCGCGGTGCCCTTAAGAGTCAAATTTGAGCCAAATTTGAAACTTGTTTTCTCGAAACTGGTAGCTCCTCAGCAAAATCAGAATACATGTTTGAAAATGTCTCATTCTCAGCTTTCGAATGATATAGGTCTCATACCGAAGTTCCACCCCCCAATTACAACCTTCCCTAGTAAGTTACAAGCCGAAAAGCTGCAAATGCGGCCCGTTTGGTCTGTAACTTTGTTCACAAATATGATACAGTGTCATAAATAGTATCATTTTGTAGTGCTCGTCGAGTTCTACCATATCTAATTTAGTTGGTCAAAAAATATTAATCCTGAAAGAAACTATGACAGGGCCCGCTTTGGGCCCGTCCGCAAGTATGATTTCCAGCCCACCCAAATCTCTCTCACCTCCTGCTTCCGATCAATGACTCGAATCTGGTCCATCGTGCTGATCGACGGCGACAATCCGCCATGAACACAAAACACCTTTCCATCGATGACAGCGGCCAGTGCGAGGTAGTCGAACACTTCCGTACAGTGCTTCCAGACGGACGCATTACCGTACTTCCTCATGCACTCATCGTAGAAACCGTACACCTGCGTGATTTGACGCGATTCGTGATTGCCTCGAATCAACATCATACGGTCCGGATAGCGGGCTTTCAGCGCCAGAAGCAGCAGGAATGTCTGCAAATTGGGAGGAAAATGGGCGGTTTTAAGCCAAAAATGCTGAAAATAGCCGAAATTTCAGGATAAAAATAGTCAGAAAATGCTCAAAATTCGCTTTTTAGAAATGGAAGAAAAATCCATGAAAATGAGCATTTTAGATCAGAAAATGCTGAAAATAGCCAAAACTTTGCGGTGAAAATGATCAAAACTGACACTATTTTAGGTCGAAAAACATTGAAAATAGCCAAATTTTGGGTCCAAAAATGCCGAAAATTCCATGAAAATGAGCAATTTTAGGTCAAAAATGCTGAAAATAGCCGAAATTCCGGGTCAAAAAATGGCTAAAATTCGCTTTTTAAAGGTGAAAATAGCCGAAATAAGCCGAATTTCGAGCTAAAAATCGTCAAAATATGCCAAAATAGGATTTTCAGATCAAAAAAAGACTCAAAATAACTGAATTTTGAGCGAAAATGACGGAAAATCAGCTCCTAATCGTCAAATTTGGACATGATCTAGTGAATTTTTAGCTGAAAATCTCGAATTTGACTGATTTTTGAGTCATTTTAAGCCGATTTCAGCCTTTTTTCCGCCAATTTTTGATCATTTTAACAGCAAAAATCACGAAAAACACGATTTCAGCCTCAAAATTGGCCTAGAAATGTGATTTTAGGGTCAAAAATAGCCGATTTTCAAGCTAAAATCACGAAAAAAACGTTTAAAATCGTCGAATTCGGACCTAATTCATTGAATTTTTCGATAATTGAAATTTTTTCAATTTTTGGGATGAAAACCATCGAAACTTGCTGATTTTTTCACTCATTTTCAGTCATTTTCAACCAATTTTAATGATTTTTCAGCCATTTTAAGCCGATTTTCGATATTTTTCACTCTGAAAGTCCCATTTTTCTGTACCTCAACCGAATAGAATCCTCTATCGACGAAATCGCCCAAGAAGAGATAATTGGTGTTCGGGACGGGACCACCGACTCGAAACAGCTCCATTAGATCGTAGAATTGTCCGTGAATATCGCCACAAATCTGAAAAATTGGGAAATTTTGGCTGAAAATGTGACATCCAGCGTTTCTAGGCTGAAATTCGCCGTTTTTCTAGCTGAAATAGGCCAAAAATCTAATTTTTTAGGTCTGGAATTGGAATTTTTGGTGTTTTCTAGCTGAAAATCGAAAAAAATTTTTTTTGAAAAATTAAAATTTTTTAAAAATACGTTTACAGACCGAAAAATCCACTTTTTTCGGTCAAAAAATCGATTTTAAGCCCATTTTCGCATCCAAAACCTACCGTAACCGGCGAATCAATGACCTGGACGTTTCCCTCCTCGGCGAGTATCTCGCGGGCCTTGGCGCACAGCGTTTTGACGTCTTGCTCGGCGATCAGCTCACATCTCATCAGTTTTTCGATGTGGCTAAAAATTTTCAGCAATTTTAAGCCATTTTTCAGAAAAGTTGGAGCATTTTGAGCCAAAATTTGGATTTTCAGCTTTTTTGGCTCAAAAAACATTTTTTGCCATTTTTTGGGTCAAAAACTCGTATTTTAACCAATTTTTCGGAATTTTAACGCTGAAAAACGTGTTTTTAAGCCCTGAAACCCACCGATCCAGGTCGTGAGTGCTCAACTGGTCCGATGGACCCGATGTGGGGGATTCGGAGCGCGCGAATGTCTCATTTTGTGTGTCGGCGACTGCTAGAGCCATAGAAAACTGAAAAAATCTGATGAAAATTGATCAAAAATGAAAAGAAATCGGAAAATTCGAGAAAAACTGAAAATCCATCCTAAAAATGTCATTTTCAAGGGTTTTTCGTCATTTTTTTGGGTTGAAAACGTTAAAAATCGGTCTGAAATTGAAAATTAAGCTAGAAAACGCTTTAAAATTCTAGAATTCGTCGAATTTCAACGATTTCAATGAGTCACAATGCGAACTTGGCTTCGTGCCAGGTTTTTTGCGCGCTCTCAATAGAGCGCGAATGCTTTTGGTGGAAGAGGAAACTCAGGAGGAAAGCTAGTCCCCCGTAATTTTTTCGAACTATTTTTCTCACTTTTTTGGCGAAAAATCAAGAAAAATGACAAAATTTAGCGATCTCGGGTATTTTTTCGACGATCAGGGGGTTTTGCGCACTGAAAAGGTGAGAAGTTTGGTTGAAAATTGCGGAAAATCAGCAAGAACTCGCAGAAAAATGGATTTTTGTGAAAAATCTGAATTTCTTATTTTTCAGGACAACGAGCCGTTCAAATTCACCACTCAAGAAGCCTATGAGGAGCTTGGCGAAGCAGTCGACGAGGAGATTTTCAGGCTTTTAGAAGACAAATGTGGCCTGGACAAGAAGGCGGTAAATTTGAAAATTCGAAAAACATTTTTTTTTCTAATTTTTCAATTTTTAGAAAAATTTTTTCAGAATAATGATTTTTGAGCGATTTCAGGTCGTGATATCAATTTTTATCAAAATTGGATAATTTTTAAAAAAATTAAATTTTTCAAAAAAAAAATTTTTTTTCGAAAATTTTGAATTTTTCCAGCTAAAACCAGCGGATTTCAAAGAGGACGATGAGGATTTGAGCTTCATTTTTGTGTCGAAAAACATAAAAACCGCCCAAAAAGTGCTAGTTTTGATGCATGGCTCCGGGGTGGTCCGTGCCGGTCAATGGGCTCGTCGCCTGATTATCAATGAGAATTTGACCGTAGGAACGCAAATACCGTATATCGAGAGAGCGCTGAGCAATGGATGGGGTGTGCTCGTGATGAATACCAATATGAATGGAAGTCAGGCCGAAGAGTTGAAGGTTTGGCTGGAAAATGCTCTAAACCGGGATTTTGGGCCAAAAAAATGCGATTTTCAGCATGAAAGTGGCTGAAAAACCGATTAAAATTGCTTAAAATACACTAAGAATGCCTTTAAATGGGTCAAAAATAGTCAAAAAAATGGAATTTTTCAAAAATCATGAAAATGTGTCAACAATAACGATTTTTGGCTTAAAATTGCAATTTTTAGCATAAAAATGATCTTAAACAGCCTTGCCAAAAAATACGCTGAAATGCTTGAAATTGGTCAAAAATGGGCCAAAAAGTGCATTTTCAAAAATCATGAAAATTGTCAAAAATGACGATTAAATATGAAATAGCCTAAAAATTTGATTTTCGGCTTGAAATTGCAGGAAAATGACCGATAAATAGCCAAAATTACTCTGAAAATTCTTAAAAAGAGCCAAAAAATTGAATTTCAAAAAATCATGAAAATGGGTCAAAAATGACGATTTTAGGCTTGAAATTTATGAAAAATAGCCTCAAAAAGTGATTTTCAGCCTAAAATTCGTAAAAAATGATTTATAAATTGCCAAATTTGCTGAAATTACGCTGAAAAAGAGCCAAAAACGAACTTTCCAAAAAAACCAAAAAATGGCTCAAAAATGGAAGTTCAGAGTCGAAAAATGACGATTTTTAGCAATAAAAAGCCTTGAAATTTATGAAATAAATGACCGATAAATGATCAAAATTGCTCCAAAAATGCTCCAAGAGCGGAACTTTGGAATTTTCTCGAAAAATCATAAAAATTAGCCAAAAATGACGATTTTTGGCTCAAAAACCATGGAAATAAGCTCTAAAATAAGGCAAAAAATATCATAAAATATCGGTTTTCTGACTTTTGACACACTTTAAAATGGTCCAAAAGTCTTGTGTAATTGGTTTGAAATCCAAGATTTCAGCCCCAAATTCATAGAAAATAGCTTAGAAATTACGATTTTCAGCTCATTTTTAGCATAAAAATATGATTTTTGGCACATTTTTAGCTCAAAAATGACCTAAAAATGCCATTTTTGGCCTAAAATGACCCAATTTTTCCCCAAAAATCCTCCATGTTCAGTATTCCCGAACACCTGAGGAGCATGCTGATACCGCGTGGAAGACATGGGTTAAGCCATCGAAAGCCAAGGAAATCTACGTTGTCGCACACAGTCGTGGTGGTTATGATATGACGACGGTGGTAGGTGAAAAAAAAGCCTTAAAATAGCCCAAAAATCACATTTTCTCAAATTTTTAGCTTTAAAATCATGATTTTTGGCTCAAAATTGGCTTGAAAACGTCGAATTTCGAGGCAGAAGCTCGAAAATAGCTCAAAAATCCATGAAAAATGGCCCAAAAACCAATTTTTCTTCAATTTTTAGCGTTAAAATTGGCGATTTTTGGCTCAAAAGTCGTTCAAAAATACTTTAAAAACACGAAAAACGACGAAAATGAACCTGAAAATGACCTAAAAATGGAGAAAAACAGGTGGAATTTGACCTAAAAACCAGTAAAAAAGCTCAAAAATGACCTAAATATCACTTTTATAGTCTTCAAATTAAGATTTTTGGCTTAAAATTCACTGAAAATGGCCAATTTTGAGCTAGAAATGAATGAAAAATCATCCAAAAATCACATTTTCTCTATTTTCTAACGTTAAAATTGGCGATTTTTGATCTTATAAATCGAATTTCCAGGTTTGAAATTTGTCAAAAAATCACGAGTTTTGACTCAAAAATCGACGAAAATGACTAAAAATGTCCTAAAAATCTGAAATTTTCAGCTCAAAAAGCACGGCGACGACGACCGCATCTCCAAAATCTGCCTAACCGACTCGCCGTGGTTCCAGATCCCGAAGACGTGCGAGCGGCGCACCGCACCGCTTTACGTCGTCAATTTCTTGGCAAACGGGGTAGGTTGGTGACATCTGGACAGCTGGAAATACGGAAAAATGGAAAACAAATCGGCTGAAAATGGCCAAAATTAGCCAAAAATCGCCTGAAAATCACTAAAAAATCAGTTAAAATCGACTTTTTTTTCTGAAAATTTGTCGGAAAAAAAGGTGAAAAATCCGTTTAAAGTGGTCCAAAACCCATCAAAATGACCTGAAAACCCTAAAAAAAATAGTCTAAAATCCACATAAATCGCTGAAAAAACTGAAAATTTCAATTTTTCAACGAAAAAAATCTCCCTAAAATCGATTTTCTAGCCTCGGAAATCGGGATTTTCCGACACACAGACAGATTCTTTCTTCTGAAAAAATGGCCAAAATTCAGAGTGAAAAGTTTTGTTCAGCCCATTTCAGGTTTTTTTTTTAATTTTCAGAAAATCTGGAAAAATGATGAAAAATAACTGAAAATTTGTCCTGAAAAGGTGAAAAACCCGAAAAAAATGGTCCAAAATCCATGAAAATGACCTGAAAAACCTAAAAACTCGACTGAAAAAACTGAAAATTTTCATTTTTTAACTTTGGAAATCCGGATTTTCCGACACACAGACAGGGTTTTTCCTGAAAAAATGGCCAAAAATCACGCTAAAAAGTGGTTTTCAGCTCATTTTGAGGTCTGAAAATTTCAGAAAATCGTCATTTTCAGTCATTTTTGACCAATTTTTCCTGGAAAAAATGGATTTTCAGACATTTCCAGGCGATTTTAAGCCAAAAAACCGAATTTCCAGAGCCTGGAAAAGTACAAAATTGGCGAGTATCGAGCGGGAAAAGTCCAAAATCTGTTCGCCGGAACGAAGATCCACGAGTGGTCAAGCCATTTTTCGATCGACGCGTGTTTTAAGATTTTCGAGGAGGAGGTGAGCGTTTTTGGGCGTTTTTTTGGCTGAAAAATGAGCCAAAAATGGCTGGAAATTCCAGAAAAATCAATGAAAAATGAGCAATTTTGGCCCCAAAATGCTGAAAATTCCATGAAAAATGGCTGAAAATAAGCATTTTTAGGCTGAAAATTCGATTTTAGGCCTAAAAAACCTCGAAAAAATTCGATTTTTTGCAGTTCGACGAGGCAAAATTCGCGGAAATTCTGGAATCCGCGAAATTCCTGGTCTTGCCGAGAGAGGAGAGAGTGCAGAGAAACGAGACGGACGATGAGGAGGAGGAGGAGCCAAAGGAGAAGAAAATTTGTGTCTAAAAATTCGGTTTTTTCCCGTTTTTATTGAATTTTACGGTTTTTTACGATCTGAAATGAATTTTTTCGTGCTGAAAATGTCTTTTACGAGCTGAAAATCGACTTTTTGCATAAAAGAAAACTCAAATTTGAATTTCCCGCGCAAAAACCGGCGACTCTGCAAGCGCGCTCTGTTGAGAATCAAAATATTTTCGCGTTTTTCGTCATTTTTCCACTTTTTTCGATGATTTTTGGGCTTTTGTTGGTTTTTAGTGCTTTTTAGGGTAAAACATCGAAATTCGCACGATTTTTTAAGAGAGAAAACTTGAAAAATCATAAAATGGCTGAAAAATCGGCAATTTTGGATTTTTTGAAAATTTCGAAAATTCAAAAACTCAGTTTTCTGTGGTTTCTAGTGATTTTATAGGTGAAAAATCAAAATTTACACGATTTTTTGAGTTTGAAAACTCGAAAAATCGTGAAAGTCCATGAAAAATGGCTTGAAATCGAAATTTGAATTTTTGAAAATTTCGAAAAATCAGTTTTTCTGAAATTTCTGGTCAATTTTTCAGTAAAAATTCTACTTTTTTATAAGAAAAATTGCTGAAAATTCCGATTCTTCTCTCAAAAAATTAAAAATTTCGACAAAATTCAATTTTCCCCATTTTCAGCCAAAAAATGCTGCGTCTAGCGACTCGGCAAGCCACCGCGATGCTCCGTTCGAGCTATTCAACGGCTTCTGGAGCCGCCGGAGGTCTCAGCGATGAGACACGTCAAAGAATCGATGGAATCGTCAAGAAGGATGATGTCGTCGTTTTTATGAAGGGTACACAACAAGAACCAGCGTGCGGATTCTCGAGAAATGTCAAATTGGTGAGAAAATAGCTGAAAATCCATGAAAAACGAGCCAAAGTCTGAAAAAAAATCTGCTGCAAAAACTGAAAATTTTTTCGACTAAGAAATTGCCCAAAAATCGATTTTCTAGCCTCGGAAATCGGGATTTTCCGACGCACAGACAGAGTTTTTTAAAATAAAAACTCTGAAAAAATGGCTGAAAAGCGTCATTTTCAGCCATTTTTGACCAATTTTTCCAAAAAAAAATCGATTTTCAGCCCGATTTTAGGTCGAAAAAAATCTAGGAATTCTGGAAAAATCGGTTAATAATGACCGAAAAATCTGGGAAAATCTGCTGAAAATCGACTTTTTTTCTGAAAATTTGTCGGAAAAAAAGGTGAAAAATCCGTTAAATATGGTCCAAAATCCATGAAAATGACCTGAAAAACCTAAAAAATTTTGATCGACACAGGTCTGGCTGAAAAATCTGAAAAAATCGCCAAAAAAAAGTCCAAAATCGTCAAATTGGTGAGAAAATCCATTAAAAATGAGCCAAAATCTGGAAAAATCGGCTCGAAATGACCCATTTTGCTCTAGAATCAAACTTTGGCTGGAAATGGCTGAAAATAGCTGAAAATGAGCCTAAAATCGACCTAAATACAAAGAATTGACAATTTTTGGTTTAAAAAAAAAAATTGGTCGAAATGAGAATTAGGTCATGGCCTAGAAAAAACTAGGCCATGGCCTAGAAAAAACTAGGTCATGACCTAGAAAAAATTAGGTCATAACCTAGAAAAAAGCTAGGTCATGACCTAGAAAAAATTAGGTCATAACCTAGAAAAAAGCTAGGTCATGACCTAGAAAAAATTAGGTCATAACCTAGAAAAAACTAGGCCATGACCTAGAAAAAATTAGGTCATGACCTAGAAAAAATTAGGTCATGACCTAGAAAAAATTAGGTCATGACCTAGAAAAAAGCTAGGTCATGACCTAGAAAAAATTAGGTCATGACCTAGAAAAAATTAGGTCATGACCTAGAAAAAATTAGGTCATGACCTGGAAAAAATTAGGTCATGACCTAGAAAAAATTAGGTCATGACCTAGAAAAAAGCTAGGTCATGACCTAGAAAAAATTAGGTCATGACCTAGAAAAAATTAGGTCATGACCTAGAAAAAATTAGG